AGAATACAGTAAGCCACAGGCCTGGACACCGAACAGCAGTCTCTGGCTGCGTGGGGCTATGCTGGGCTCAAAGCCCGGCATGGCCAGGAACTCGGGGTTATCCCGCTCGCAAACTGCCCGGAGTCCCAGCAAGGTCCCAGCCGCGTTTAGACCTCAGGGTGTGTGGCCTCCTCCAGTAAGTGCTGCACAAAAGACACTTAGCAGTTGCCTGTCTGTCTCGCTCCCATCTTCCTGGGATCAGGAGTCATCCTTCATTAGCCCCCAGTCCCCACGGGACGGACACAGAAAACCTCTGGATTCCTCGTTACCGGAGGCATTTTGCCCGGGCCGAGCTATAGAAAATGCCCGCACCACAGCCCAGTGGGACAGGCCATGGTTCTAACATCCAAATAATCATTTCACAAATTATCATCATTATCAATCAATCACCCTGTTTGGACAATGCGAGGCTGGGCTATCAGATGACTTTTATGACCTGTAGCATTTTGTATGTAATAATAATAACCGGGAGAGATTTATGGACCCATCACCGGCCCCTCTTCCAGCGGAATGACTTTATTAGCTCGATTTATTTTTGACCCTCCTCTAAGCCTCTGCACTCCCGCCCCTCGCCCTGGGGGCTGGCTGGGGTGGACGCATTTTTCCGAAGCTTCTGAAGGGTTTTTTTCAGGTCCTCAGGCCTAGCCGTCCCATGCGAATTCACGATGTATTTATTTTTGGGAGGAGGGGGATAAAGAAGCGGAGGGGAAGAGAAAATAAAAATTAGAGAAAAGGTCACTTCCTTTTGTTTGTGTTTTCCCGTTCTGTATTAACACGTCTTTCCTTTTCAAGAGGGGGAAGGAAAACACGATAAAGTGGACAAAGGGAAAGGCTGCCGGGCCATGTTTCCCCTTTCATATCGCCAGAGATTGAATCAAAATTCTTTCAGCTGATAGCATCTCCCGGGTGGACTACACTCTTGTTAACGGATAAATTCAAGCCCTACAGGAAGTCAAAGAAGAAATTTAAGCCTTTTGCCAAATGTCTATCCTATTGGATTGTGATAAGATGGCCATTGAGCCTTAATAATGTCTTCCATCCATTTTCAGCGAGCCCTTAACACGGCTCTTGATTCGTCCCCAAAGCCTCTTCGCCCGGCCTTTTTATTACCGGCTCTGGCGGGCTCTCCAGGGAGCCGCGCGCCCCGAGTGATGGATGGACAACTCGCTAGATTATCTCCCGCAGATGTTTGCTCTCCAGGAGCCCCCGGCCTTTCCCTCTAAGTAAACAGAGACTAAATAGAGAGTCCGCTGGAGGGAACGGTCCCAGAGGTCCCCGCACCGCGGCCAGGAAAGGCGCGACGCAGCCCGACCCACAGTCAATGTGACTTTTGGGAAGCGCGAGTGACGCGCGCCCAGGGCGCACCAGGGCGGGCGCGGGGACGGGGCCAAAGCTCTGGGCTGCGCGGGCGCACGGGCTGCGGAGTGAACGAAGGCGCAGAGGCTGGGGTGGGAGACAGAGGGGACATGGGAGGCCAGGGCGAGGCTGAAGGGGCACAGGAGGGATGAAGGAGGACCTTCCCCTGCGGTTGCTGGTGGCTCCGCCCTCCTGGGGGCGGGGGCGGGGGCGGGGCTGACGGGAGGCGCCTCTGTAGCTCCCACAGGAGCCCCGCCCCGCGCCACAGTCCTGGGTTCGAATCCCAGGCCTCCATACATCCCCCGACCCGGCCACCCTCGCCTGTACATTCTGAGTAGAGTCATCCTGCATCCAGTCCCTTCGGAAACCTCGCTCTCTGATACTTAAAATTCCTAACCGTGGCTTCCTCACAAAATATCACCTTTTCTGTAGCTCATGTGCCAAGCTGCTGATTGAATTAATTAACTTCGTCACATTTCGCTGAGGCAGATAAAGAACAGGAAGTTCAATCCTCTCAGCGGTGGATGAACTGAAGTCAGAGACAGGAGTTGCAAACCCACAGGTCACACAGCGCCACCTCCCCACCCCCACCGTGATGTTCCCCTATGAGATTTTTAATGCTCCCAAGTGCGCCTTTGGGTGACGCAAACTACAAAACCTTGAAACCAGAGTCCTCGTCCTATAAGTAAGGATTGCACTGAATTCATCCTGAAAACAGCACCACGGTGTGCACAGTTACCGTAGCAATCCACACATTGCACCTATACCAATAGCTCTAAGTGGCGCCTCTGTTTGCAGGGTGGGGCCTCTGTCTGGACTGATGCCTCTCGAGGACTGTCTGTCCTGGTCTTCCTGGCCCCCGAGTCTGAAACCTTTTTTGAATTTTAGCTCACATCTCTCAGTCTCTCAGCCCCAACTCCCCCGGGCCCCCAAGAGTGCCTGGAAATGTAACTGAACGGGTCCAGTCAGAGCCCTGGGGTTAGGGATCTGATTCTCCCACCAGCGTGGCCTTGGCAAACACTCGAATCTCCCAGACCTGACGGTGTTTAGTGTAGAGGCTGAAAAAACTGTGAGTTGACGGCTCAGGCAGTGCTGTGTGGCAGCCTCCCCCTCTGGTGGAGCTGCACCTAAGGACTTGGGTGAGGACGCCTCCTCCAGGCAGCCCCCAGCCCCTCGGACTGGGCTTGCAGGGCAGCGGCAGGGAGGAGCCCTGGGCTGGGGTCAGGGGGCCTGCTTAGACAGGACCGCCCACCAACGCCCTTGATGCTGGCTCTCGTACCCTGCACTGAGCTCCCTGCAGCTGCAGTGGTGTTGTGGGGGGTCTCGTGCATCGGGTCTGCTCTGATTCTGTGGGATGGCGGAAGCTGGAACTCCTCAGCCCAACCCAAGGCTCTCAACCAGCTTTCCTAGGGCCTGCGTCAGAGGGATGCCTGCTGCCCTGGGCACTTAGAAGTCGGCCCCTGGCTGGACAGCACTTCATACCCACCCCGGGAGCCGCTCTCAAGAATGACCTTGGGCCACACTGGGCAAGACCTGATGGCCCCATATATGAGACAAAAAGGCAAACCCCACTGTGGCCCAGAGACACAGAAGGTGGTGCCCACGTCACCCTCCTTCTGTCCTATTTCACTCTGGTTCAGAAGCAGCCAGCACTTGCCTCTTCCGTGCCCTTTAAATCTAGACTTGACCTTTTAACCTTCTGCCTTGACCCCTGTTCCTAGACCAAGCAATCCCTCCCAGCATAAGCTGATCCCCTTCTAACCTCCTGCCAGGCCACCTCCACGACGCATTTAGGAGAGGCGCGGCCAAGGAGAGCGTCTTGAAAACGTCAGAGGGTCCAGGGACGCATGGGGTGGAAAACTCAACGCTTTCAGGCTCACTCGAGAGCTTGAGGGATTCGCACTAACTGCAGGTCACTTTTTTCGTGAAGTGAAAATACTGCAGTTCGTGGAAATCAGCAGCGCTGCTTCCTGTTTCCTGCTCCTCTACGTCCTTTAAGAAAATGTGAAATCATTTAAAGAGGCAGGAAAGAAGAAAGAGGGAAAGTGGAAAAGACCAGCCCTGGAATTCGCTCCATGGCACAGTCAGACATGGGTGCAGGAAGACCTCAGGCATCCTGTGGACGGCGGGGACTGAGAACTAACACCTTGTCCTCAGACAGAAGGACCCCAGCAGGCCAGACACAGCCACACGAGTGATGGGGAGGGACATGGGAACCAGTTCGCCCGGTTTCCAGAGGCCCTTCAGTGGGTCACTGCGGGCTCAGAAGAAGTCTCCATTGCCATGGTTTCTCTAAAATCAATGTCTCTGGGGTTGAACCTGGAGAGAAGGGTCAGGTCCCCTGTGCTTAGCTCTGCCCAGTTGGTGGGTCCCCGTCCCTCATAGGCAGCTCCACCCAAATGCCTCAGCTGAGAGACTGGGAGTTTGGTGGAACTAGCACAGGGTTTTCCTTTGACTTTGGGAGAAAAAGGGCATATCGATGACTTAAATACTCAGCTCAGGTCGTGGGGTCAGGCCTTCCTAACCACAAGGCCGCCAGTACCCCTCAAGCCCATATTCTCCATCACGGAAACCAGTTGTAATTCTTACAGAATTGTAACAGCACTCGGTAGGCACTGACTCAGCACTGGCTCCTCTGTGCCAGCAGCCCCCACGGTGCCCCCCGTCCCCCGCGATGCTGTCTGGGTGGAGATGTGTAAATGTGACTCTCTAAATTTTATCTTGCTTTAAAGCAAAGATGCCAAGCGAGAGACTGTTACTTTAATTTTACTAGAAAACCCAAGCAAATAGGAGATTGGCCACCATGTGTGAGCGTGCCTGTGTCTGTGGACGTCTGTGTGTGCATGCAGACAATGCATAGCCCCTGGAAGCCGAGTTCTGGCTGCTGAATGGGTTCTAGGTTTTGAAGCTGCTTTCCAGGCCGTTCCTCCTCCTGGCCGTCTAGACTGCAGTGTGCACACCCAGCGACACGTGTGACTGTGTGTGTCTCCCCAGGGCCTGTGTGTTTCTCTGCATATCGTTCTCCCTCTGAATCTGTTAGAGCTAATGTTTGTCCACCAGCCGTTACCCACTACCAGTCAGCAAAGCTGTGGATAATGCCACGTGGACCCTTTTTCTTTCGCCTCGTGGTTTGCTTATTTAAAGCGATGCTTCTTTGGAAGCTACGAGTGCAGCAAAAGGCTTTGTTGAATCTGCAGCCAATTTTTCCCCGTATTCTTTTCATGAGAGTATCCAGCGAAGACAGTTAAATAAACACAACCTGCGTTTATTTAATTTTCCTGTCTGCGTGGCCTGAAGCTTTCCCACAGGTACGGGGCTCTCCTCTGCTCTTGGGAGTTTGGAGAGTGGCGGATGGCCCTGTACCTGTGACCCTACGGCGACATTATCCCCACCTCCCCACACAATAAGAAGAAGCATCCCTGCTAATGACAGCAAAGCCACCGTCCTGTGCACACGTCAGTCCACAGATAACACATTGCTCAGGGCCCGCCAGCAACATTCCGACTGCACGCTTGTTAACTCAGGGACAACTGGGATGGCGGTCGCCCCGCCAGGAGCTCCGAGAACTCTGGGGAGCCGAGATGGCGCGGGACGAGCTCTCCTACCTTTTTGATGCAGCCTTCCTGGGGTGACACTTCCGCATCCGTCAGTATTTGCTGCAAAACAATTTTGAGAGGGGTTGTTAGTTTCTGAAAAAATGTCGTTCTCAAGCTACACTGGGTTCTAAATGGTGGGGACAGATCCACTGTCCCCAAAAGTCACAGGGTGGGACCCAGCGGCTTCTCCACAGCAGGAAATGAAGACTCCATTGATCACAGGTACCCCTTCTTCCAGCAGAGGCTCCCCAATCACCGAGGACCCCAAGCAGCCCCCAGGGACTTCACCTCCCTGGAAACACCACACTCCAGGGATGGAGACACTGTGTCCCTCACTCTGGCCCTTTAGTGGTTGGGTGGGGACCCAGGTCAAGGCATCTCAAGGTGAGCCATTCGTATTATTTATGAGAAGCATCTGGGCAGAGCGCACGGACACCCCGGATGCTGAACAGACTCTATTTTTATTTCCTCCGAGTTCCATGGACAAATCACACCGTGTGTATTTAGACATAACTTGGCCTATGTTGTGCTTGGCCCTGGACGGGTGAGGGACAGCAAGGTGCGGTCCCTGCCCTCGGGGGGCTTACAGTCCAGCTCGGGAGGTGGAGGTTGGGGGGAGCTAAACGCTGCCCAGCGGTACCAGGAGACAGAGGCGGGCGGCCAGAGCGAGGGGCAGAGGTTGGCCAGCGCCCTGCAGAAGGACGGCTTGGTGGGTGCTGGAGAGAGAGGGAGCTCATGCCATTTCTCTGCTTCCTCCTTTTTGTCGAATCAGAGGTGTAAGCGTTTTAACTGGCTCTTCACTCCCATCCATATCCCTGGGAGGGGGATGTCCCCTGTGGTTTTTGGAGGAAACTTCTCAAAGGAAATCAAGCTAAGGCAGAAAAGCCGCTGTGCCTAGTGTCATGCAGGGGCCCAGGATGGCCACCGAGGACCCCCCAGCAGTTCGCTGTGGGCCTCACAGGAGCTCCTGCCCCCTCACCCACGTGTGACAGAGGCCGAGACAGGGAGGCTGGAGCGGGCCAGCAGTCAGCTTGTTCTTCCTCCAGGGTTGCTCTGGCTGGAACGTTCTTTGGCTCTGGAGAGCATTTTGCCAGGTGTCTCCTCTTAAAAGCCACCAGGCTGCACTCCAGAGGGGCGGCGTCTCAGTGACCCGTCCCAGAGTGCTGTCTGTGCTAAGCAAACTGACAAACGAGCTCTAGAAATTGGATTTTTCCCTTCTGGACCCAAAGTGGCCGTGCGCAGATGAGTATACGGAAACCGCAACATTGTTTCCATAAGAATAGAACCAAGATTGAAACTGATACTTGAAAAATAAAAGGAGAAATGATGCTCAAGCCAAAGGTTTTCCTTCCCCTCCCCTCGATATTACATGATGACTTTATACATCATAAGGACGGAGCACAGCGTGCCTGCCAAGGCGCAATTGACAAGCTGGCGTTCCCAGCCACAGCAGGGCCCAGCCTGATCGCCTTCCGGGTCACCCTGCGCTAATGTGAATGGCAGTGACGGCTGCTAGATTCAGGCACCTACATGGGCTGCGTTTGGAAGAGGAGAAAGCCTTAGGAGGGGTGTGACCTGCCCGCGGGGCCGAGGCTGGAGGCAGAGCTTGAGACCTATTGATGACTTGAATACTCAGCTCGGGTCCTGGGGTCAGGCCTTCCTAACCACAAGGCTGCCAGTACCCCTCAAGCCCATATTCTGCGTCATGGAATCCAGTTGTAATTCTGACGGAATTGTAACAGCACTCGGTAGGCATTGACTCAGCGCTGGCTCCTCTGTGCCAGCAGACCCCACGATGCCCCCCTGGAGGCAGAGCTCAAGGCAGTGCTCAGGTGGAATCTGTCCTTGCTCTGGATGCTGGAGGACCGTGTGGCCGTCCCAGGTCTGGTGAAAGGGACGCCCATCCCACTGGTGGCCCTGGAGCTCTTGAGAGTAGAAGGACAGATCCCGCCATAGTGAGCCGCCCGGAGCAGAGAAGCTGTGGATCTCGTTGCCAGTTAAAGGCTGGGCTGAAACCAGAACCAGGGCCTCTGCAGTCCTGCCTGCTTCATGAGGCGCATCGAGGAGTGAGATGCTGGTTGTGTCTCTCTGGCATTTGCAGCCAAGTCACAGGCACCTGCACAGACACCACCAGCGAGAGGGCCCTGCCCTCCCCACCCTGCCCTGCCAGTGCCTGCTCACAAACCCACACACCCGCCCAGAGCCCACAGGGGCCTGGCGCTGGTCTAGGAGCATTTGGTGGCCTCTGGTTGGGCATTTTCCTGGAGGCTGCCTCCTGTTCCCAGTGGGAAAGTGCATGCCACAGCCCATTCAAGCCATTCCCAACGCAAGTGACACCCCCACCATCATCCCCCGGCCAGGTCAGTCCAGGAGCCCTTGTTAACACCGCATCCTCACATTCAGAGGGGGCTAGAGCCCTCCATCCACCCACCGATGCCACCCTGGGCCTGCTGTGGCCTCAGATGCAAAGCTTTCAGGTGGGGGCTGCCCTCACCCTCCCTCTGTCCACGCTGCTCTCTGTTGGGTGTGCTCCGTTCCTGCTGTGGCCAGCTGCATTTTCACTTGCACTTTTGGTGGCCTGATCTTCCTGCCTCCCTGCCCTCCGAGTGGCCGGGTGGGATGGAACGCCCCCGTAAACCCACCTGTCACGCCATGCGGAGGCCCTTTTTGCCTTTCTGGCAGAGTCTGACAGGGTCTGTGCGTGGGCTTGGCCAGCATTCCTGCTCCCCAGAGCTTGTCATCAGGTGGGGACGCAGGGACGGACCTCCAACACTGGCCCCAATAGTTGAAGGTGTTGTATGCGACGCACCGACCAGGAGGGCCCGGTCATACGGGGTGGCATCAGGAGGTGGGACCTGGCCAGCCTAGGGTGGTGGTGGGGGCAGGTGCTACAGCTGCTGGGCTCCCGGCTGTCTCTCTGGATCCTCTGAGCGCAAGGCCTGGGCCCCCTTCGGGCGGAGGGTGTGGGCTGCTGAGGACTGTGGTCACAGCGGAGCCCAGTGTGGAGCCACGGAAGAGCTGCACAGATGTCGAGCCCTCCCCAGCTGCCCTGCACCCCCTGAAGAGGAAGCCGGCGCCCGATGGCAACAGAGAAAGAAGCGGCCTCCTGCAGGAGGGGCACTGGGGCCTGAGCCGCGTTCCGGAACTGCCTGCCCCATCTCACAGCCCACCTTGGCAGGTATGAAGACCATTCACTCTGCCTCTTCACTCGCTGCTGAGCTCAGGTGGAAAAACGGCCGGACGCGCTCCCCGGCTTCCTCAGCCCCGGCCCCCTCCCTTGCCCGAGCTGCCGTTCTGCTGAAAACCCTCTTTATTTTGCTAGCTGGGCCCTCAGCACACGCACCGCTGGCCCCTGGATTGCTGGCAATGGCCACCACGCTCTCCACCTCTCCGCACCCCAGCAGAAGTATTAGGTGTGTTTGATTAAGCGTTTTAGCCAAAAAAGCGAGGTCTGACCCCTGGCATTTAGCTTCTCTCGCGGGTGCCAGTGCCAGGATTTAGCTAAGTGGGGTTGGTCAGAACCTCTTTTTTGACTCTTAAAATAAATACCCTCTGTTCTCCAAAAAGCCAGCAAAGAGGCCACGTACGCAGAGGCGCTTACGGCTCCGGAGTTCTGGCGCGGCCCCAGGGGGGCTCAGCTTGCTGTTCGGTGTCACAAATGGATCCCGGAAGGTTTCTCTCCCGTCCAAAGTATCTGTTATTAAAGTATCTGAGAACCTAACAAAGGAGGAAGCCCAGAGTGAGCCCCGGCCACGGAGCTGCTTCCAAACCGGCGGGAGGTGAACGGAGCCTAGCGCGGCGGAGGCTGAGGCCCATGAGGGCCCCCAACACTCCAGTTAATGCACCCCTTGCTCTTGGCATTGAGAGCAAACCTCCTCTCTCTAACCGACTTCTCTTTTCTTTTTTCTGCTTTTTTTTTTTTTTGAAACAGGGTGTCTCGCCCAGGCTGGAGTGCAGGGGTGCAATCATGGCTCACTGAAGCCTCAGCCTCCTGAGCTCAAGCGATCCTCTCAACTCAGCCTCCTGAGCAGCTGGGACAACAGGCAAACCACCACCCTGGCTAATTTGTTTTATTTTTTGTAGAGATGGGGTCTCACTCTGTTGCCCAGGTTGGGACTCCTGGACTCCAGCAATCCTCCCAAAGTTCTGGGATTATAGATGTGAGCCACCATGCCCAGTCGGCTCTAAACCAACCTACCTTCCTTCCTTCCTTTTCTTTCTTTCTTCTTTCCTTTCTTCTCTCTCTCTCTCCCCACCCCATACCCGCAGGCTAGAGTGCAGTGGCTCCATCAGTTCACTGCAACCTTGACCTCCTGGGCTCAGGTGATCTTCCCACCTCTGCCTCCCAAGTAGCTGGGATTAGAGGCATGCTCCACCATGTCTGGCTAATTTTTTGTATTTTTTGTAGAGACAGGGTCTCACTGTGTTGCCCAGGCTGATTTCTGACTCCTGGACTCAAGCAATTCTCCTGCCTCGGCCTCCCAAAGTGCTGGGACGACAGGCGTGAACCACTGTGCCTGGTTCTAACCTACTTTTCTTTCTTGCCCATTTCTGAAGTAGCTTCATTGGACCCAAAGATGTGGGTCTGAGTCTAGAACCTACTAAAAGCTGATTCCAAGGCCTCCTCTCCTTGAAGAAGCCCCTATGGGTGGAGTCGGGGGGTCAGGGTTGTCTGTGCAGGGCACCCAAGGGTGTTCAAATGGCAGGGCTGATGGGGCCCTCCACAACCCCCACATCCCATCTAGGCTGCAAACCTCGCTCTGCTCACTGCTGGGAGGTTGTGGGGTCGAGGGGCTCAGGGTTCTGCAGGAGACACAACCTGAGCAGAGGTCTTGGTGGTCAGCAGCTTCAGCTTCCCTGCAGCCTACACGTTCAGGAGGGTTTTACAGCCAACTAAACAGTGCCCCTGGCAGGGCTGGAAGCTGATAACCAGGCCACACTGAGCCTCCACATCTCAGGATCATCTCTAACTCTTGGAGAGCCACCCACACATCCTCCTTTTCTGAGAGATGGAGTTTTTAAAGAACAAATCTCATTCTTCATTTTCTTTTCCAAATGGA